TCACTAGGGGGGACCAGAAGGGTTTGGGGGAGACGCTGTTTCCCCTAGCGCCCACTGGCATAACAAGGAGTAATGGGCACAAGTTGATGGAGAGGAGGTATAGATTGGACATCCGCAAAAACTACTTCACAGTTAGGGCGGCTAGGAGCTGGAACCAACTTCCAAGGAAAGTGGTGCTGGCCCCTACCCTGGGGGTCTTTAAGGAGAGGCTGGATGCCTACCTGGCTGGACTCATTTGAGTCCCGTTTCTCTTTTTGGGGTTTTTTGTTGTTCTCCCGCCCTGGCGGGGGGTCAGGCTAGAAGATCTACTAGGTCCCTTCTGACCCTTAATCTATGAATCTATGAAATTTTGCCCAGATCTTTTTTTTAAAAAAAGCTTTAAAAAAATACCCCAAATGAAGTCAGTTTCAAACCATCTTTTCTGTGCTCTGTGGTTGAGACCATAACACTGCGATGTTAAGAACCTGCAAGCTGTTCTGTGCCCAACACCCATTGATGTCAGGTCCCTCTGTAAAACAGCTTATAGGATTGAGGCCATAACTGGCTTCCCTTGTCTGAAGTGAGAGGAGTACAAAATTACGCGCGGCATAAACAGCGAGAAGGAAATTGTATCGACAGTGCGCATTTTCAAGTACTTCATTGTTGCTCTACTAAGTAAAAAAAATATATATATTTATGATGTGGTATCAAAGCTTGACAATGCTATTGAAAATGGTAGTTGGAAATCTGTGGGGGAAATAAGGTGGATTACACATCTCGGAGAGGAAAAGCAATTTGACAAGTTCAATTATAACTCAGAATCTGTACTATAAATCAATGGGAAGATGGGGGGATTAGAATTGCAGGGCCAGATCAATAATTGTCCCATTGGGTGGCATGCAGCACATGGGCAAGCACAACTTCTGAAGCTGTGAACCAGCTTGTGTAATTTCCGTAGACCTAATACCAATTTTTTTTCCAGCTGTAAAATGACATAGTATTAAAGCTCTGGATATATCATGAGTTGCCAGAGTCTGAAATGATAGAAAGTGTTCCTTTTTAACCTTGGTGTTTCATCATGAACCAGGCATTAGCATCACGTTGTGCTGATTTTTTCCATTTGCAGTTTTTTTTTCCCCCCCATATCACTTTCAGCAAGACTTTTGTAGCCACCATCATCTAAAATGCTTCAGAGCTAGATACCAGGCCTTTAAACCATATAAAGATGGATTTCTACTTTCTGATGCATGATTAATCTCAAGTCTGGTGGCTTGTGAAATGTGCTGCTAAATTTGAACTGAACAAGACTGTTGCAAAAGGGCTGACTTGGTAGAATGGTATGAAAACTTTTGGCACGCTTACACTTACCCAAATGCTGCTTCTGAACCAGTCATCGGGGAGAGTCTGGAGTACAAGAGAGAACCACATCATGGATCTTGCTACACAAATAAACCAGTGTTTTAGAAACTGCAGTTGAGTTTTTTTCTCATGCAAAGGAAAAACAGCAACCTTTCAATATCTCTAGGCAGCATATCATATCTACTCTGATCTCTAGGATTATCAATCCAGAGCAATATCAACAAAAAAAAAGTTTGTTTTCTTAGCCACCATAGCTAAGCAGGAAATCACTTTGTACTGACACTTTTTGTAACACCATAACAATTTCACATTCAAAATGGTTGTATAGGCAAATAAAGGAAAAAAGCAAAAATGCAGCCTAGTGAGGAAAGAGAGAGGCTCTGTAAATTCGTTTGCCCAGGTAGCATTTGGGGTGGGATGTTTGGGGCTTACATCTTCAAGTAAAACACTTTGTCAGGAGTTCCTTGTAAAAATGCTGGCAGAACAGCCCTAACTTTCGATGGGTGATAGAATCAACCCCTTTGAGGCTAGCTGTGCTTTGTACCAGCAAGCAAATGAACTTCCATCCTTTAATAGGAAGGGAGCTCCTATTAAAGTTCTGCCACTAAACTTGCAGGGAAGGTGGGAGCAATTTTCCTGCCTTGAATGGTGATTTTAACCCTCTCGGGATGCCACTGATCCATCTGCACAAGAGAGAACAGACCCCTGGGAATCCAGGATACTTTGAAGAACAAATGTTTTGCCATTTGCAATATATCAGTACCAAGCAGCAGGTGTTATAAGAATGCCAGGCGGGATGGCCCCTTAAACTCCTCTCTCTGCTTTTTATCCTCACCTAGTTCAAAGGTGAAGTGTTACACGTGTGGAATTCCTTTACAGCAGTGGATGTTTTTCCAGCTAGGTGGAACTAACATCTATTCAGCCAGCACCGACAGGGGTGCTGCCTTCCTCTCTCAGGATCTAGAAGGGAAAACAAATGAACAGCTTCCACAGTCCCTTCTCTTCCTGTGCCTGAGTCTTTATCTCAGACTGCAGGAAAATATTCTTCCTGGGAGCCCCTTGAAGAATAAATACAAAGTAGGGCTCTCTCCTACTTTTATTGGACTATACTAGCATCCATCCTTGAAGGATGAAAGAGCATTGCTGAATATCATCAAGGAAACACCCTAGAGCTCCCTAAAGATCACTCCTAAGAGCATGGTAAAAACAATGAAAAATTCCTATTAAAAATTTCACTGAAAAACCTTGTAGAGCTAGAAAAAAATAAATGAAAGCCTTGAGTCATATGATTGATGCCTCCTCGAGTGCCTTTTATGGGGAGGCTGTTTCTTTACCGGTCATTACTTGGGTTTCTCAAATCAATGAGCTTTAGTGACTAATTCATCCTGCTCTGAATTTATAAAGCCAAAGTGGCTTGCTTTATTCAGCCAGAAGTCCTCCTTCTGGTGGTATTGGAGCCTTAATGTTATCAGTCAGTTCTGCAAATGTTTATCCTCATTCATACAACTAGCTCTCTGAAACTTTACTTTGGAAGCTGGATGCTTAAAAAAAATTACTGGTGATGTGGCTTTTTGTGCATGTGCTAATTAAGGTGGAGCCTGCCAGATACTCGCTACACTGGGTTTGGGACATGTACAGCTGGAGAGGAAAGGCAAGAGAAGGCAGCTGAAAGTGTTGGACTGAAGGAGCCTGAATATTTAGTCCTCGATAGACCAGGGAGTTTGGATACAGACAACGGCAACAGTTACCTAAGGGAGATTGTTTTCATCACACTTTCCCCCTCGTCTATAATCTGTGAAGTGCCTCCCTACAGTAGGAAATACTTTATTGTGGGTAAGCAGAGGTAGAAAATACTGTTGATCCTCCAGAGCCACATTCCTCTCTGGCTTGACGCCAGAGCAGGAGTCAAAGGAAAGCACAGGTCACGTAAAACGCTCTGGTGGGTCCTGGGCAGAGCAGGGCTGCGGGGACTCGTAAAAGGTGGTTTTGTTTAAGGGGCTCCTTGGAAGCGGATGAGTGTGGCCCTTTGATCGGGAGAACGCAATACCTGTCAGTTTAAATGTTTCCTTCCAGCTGTAGCCAACGGTGTGTGTGGAAGGAAGAAGCTGTATTTGTTGGCATCCATACCAACCAACTCACTAGTCGTGAGGCCTCCCTGGAAGGTGAACTTGGTGACCTCTTGGAAGCCCATCTCAATTCAAACAGCTCTGGTCAGATCTGTGCGACTTGGAAGGGGCTTTTCAGAAGTCATCAAGTCCATCTTCCTGACTACGCAGGGTTCTAGCAAAGAGATGCTATTGAGTCCTGACGGAAAGTTCTTGGATTCTGCCCTTCTCCTGTAAAACATCTGCTATTAAATTCACTGAATGAAGGGTCACATTAAACATCACACTGTTTTAAGCTTTTCCTAATGTTTAACCTAGGAACAGTATCTTCTCTCTCTTCTAGAGAATCCAGTGCATGGCATGGGCCAGTTGATGCTTCCTTTTAAAGCCTGTCTATACAAATATGCTCACATTCTGTAGCAGGGCAGCTGAAGGGTTAGTCCTATGGTCACCTGATAATCCATATCAAAAGGAGCTTTATACTGAAAACATACTATCTACTGGGGAGGAATTTTTGATTTGCCAGCTTCAGCAGTTACCTTTTCAACCCAGTTTTAACCACCATTCTGAGATATCAGCGGTTGTTGGGTAGGAGATGGCAAGTTCAAAGGAATTGTTCAACTAGAGTTGCCATTGAGCTTTACAACAAGGTACCAGATGAGAAACAGGTACACAGTGTCTTGTACTCTGGAAACATCACAGTCCCAAATTTATGTGCCAGAACTGATGGCTCCACACTGTCAAGGTTGAAATATGACCTAGTAAAAGTATAACAGCAAGTGGGAACCTCTGGCAGGACTCTGATGTAGATGGTGAAGTTTGGCTTAGGTTTTTGCCTTTAGTATGGCACTGGCAATTACTGGGACTTGCCTCTAATTAGAATCAAGCCTTACATTGAGTTTGAAGTTTAATAAAATCTCACTGTTTTGCAAAGTGCTTTATTTTTAACTCTTTTTTTTCTTTTTTTGTGTGCAGATGATGAAGTTTGCTTGGGACAACTACAAGCTGTATGCACTAGGAAAAAATGAACTTCGGCCACTAACTAAGAATGGGCACATTGGTAACATGTTTGGTGAGTCGTCGCTGTGTTTAATGCAGTATTCAAAACCTGTGTTACCTCGGCCTCTTTCCCTTTTCACAGAGTGCGTAGAGATGGAACTGGGGCTGGACTGTTCAAAGTCCTTGGTTTCAGGATTGACGAGTTTAAGTCCCAGTGGGTTTCTGTGGCAGCTTGGACATCTGGGCTTTTTGGAACCCCCAACTAAGATCACTTTATTTACAGCCAGCACATAATGTGTCTGAGAGTTGCAGAGCTGTTATAAAACTGACCAATTTTGTTACTAAAGCAGGAAGTCACTCCAAACCTGATAACGCTGCTGCTCGAGCTTGTAAACGTCAGGTTTTTGACCAAATGGAGTGTTTTTCCTCGAATTGCCTCACTGGTGAGCAAGGATTTGGATCTCATGAAATATTGAATAAGTGAATCAGTATTAAAGGTGCTTTGCACTGTGTGCTTACTGACTTGTAAAATTTTGCTCTTTAGCAGATTACATTTTTTGGTAACTTGCATAATTCCAGTGCTAAGCAGCTGGCATTTTCTTTTTTGTATTTCTGAGCTGTTACCCAGACCATTTTGGATACAAGTCTATTCTCTTCCATTTCACCAGCTTATCAAATGACTTTCTGCTTGGCTCCATCTTCTACAGCACAGCCTATGCTAAAATGATCGTGCTGATGGGAAAGTGCCCAGCATTTGGGGAAGTGGTGACAAAAGGAAGGGCTGGCCATTTCCTCTTAACCACTCCTTTCACTTCCCTCCAGCAAGAGGTCATGTGAAGAGGAAGGCTCTTCTCCTGTTTCAGCAGGGGTGTCCCCAGACCCTATCCTGCCCGCAGTCGGATGTAATATCCCAGAGTCCTGTATCCAGGGGAGGGTGGAAGTAGATTTTTTCAGTGAATAAACAGTGTGACGGAGGCAGTGAAAATAAACCCTTTACTCTCTTCTGTGAGGCTGCTAACCCCTTCCAGCTCAGAAGTTCAGGGCTAAGCATGATCCTCAACCTCAGATGACCTGTAGGTGCAGTTTTAATGCACATTCATAAGGTGATAATTAGTTTTGTGGAAGTGTGCGAAGAATCTGAGCATGGTGGGTTGGAGCGGTTTCAGCATGAGGGTGCTGAATGAGAGTTCAGATGTGTTGGCACAGCACAGTAGGGATCTCGGAGCAGCTGGTATCTTCAGAGAGGGAGGGATGGTGTGTAGAGTAGTTGTGGGACTGGAGACCTGACTTCCATTTGTAGCTCTGTCCTGGAGTCCCTATCACCCCAGACAAGGTACTTCACTTTTCTTTTGTTTCCTTGGGGCCCATACTTACGTCGCAGAAAGTGCCTTCGTAGAAGAGGGTAGGGATGTTTGCATTGTGTCTACTTATGATATTCAGGGCTCCAGAGTTTGCTGTCCCCCATTTTTATTACCAAACCCTTTCTCTGTTCCTCCCCAGGACCAAGACCATGACCCCCATCCCCCCACGCCCCTCCAGAACTGCTTCCTGCATCTTGCCTCCTAGTTTAGACTTTGCATTTTGCTGCTCCTGTTGGTTTGGTGCATCAGAGCTTTTCTCTTCTGCAGAACTTGTCAGAATTCCCAAAGGGAGGTGGCTGTAAACAGATCAAAATATTGAAAGGTTTTAAATGCGTTTCTCATGCTAGAACAATTGGTGGTACTTGTGCTTGCTTGTAACATGTCTGTGAGGGCTCTCAAGGAAAACACCCTGGAGCCCAAGGGTTTTGCAGGCAATTGCTGAGGAGATGCTACATAGTGCATTTCTTACTGCCAGATTTTCTTTTTTCCCTTTCAAACTGCTGCTGACTCTAGAAATGAAGCATCAGGCAGTCCCCTGCCATGATCGTGCATCCCTGTTGTATTCAGAAGCATCTTAAAATTATGGGGGATACTGATTTCTTTTTTCCCCTCATAATGCTTTTTTTTTTTTTTCTTACTCAAGCCACAGATGTATCGTAGGCAACCCTGGTATTCTTCTGACTGGAGGTGTCAAAACTCAGCTGAGATTTCTCTACAGCTGCTTCTGTGTGGGAGGGAGGACACCTCTTTGGGGCTATTTTAAAACATGTTTGTGTGACTGAAAAGTAATCAAGTTCTTCAGGGGTGATGCATTTTCCTGTTGTGGAAGTGATGCTCACTTATAGCCAAGCCTTGGTTTTCAGCAGCCTCCCCCTGAGGGAAGCAGGGGAACTGCTTTTTATCAACTATATTCTGGCAAATGGCAGCAGAAGCACAAAACAAACATTCACCTTCTGTTCCTGCCTGTGATTCTGTCTGTGCTGTTATGGAGCAGTGAAGTGTTAGCATTTGTCTCGCCAGCCGCCAGGGGTGGGGAGCAGGGCCAGAACTCCGCTGCCACGTCCCCACCTCATTTCCTTCCTCCCCACTGAGCTAATTCTGCTTATAAGGGACCATGCAGAACTGCCCCATCACATCTTCCCAGTCTTCTCCCATGTGATACTCCTTCCCATTCAGTGATTTGAGGGAGGGGTTCCTTTTGGATTCCTATGCCTAAAGATACACTGCTGGCTAGGCTGTATGGCGTTTGCCGCCTTCAGCAGGGCACGGACTTGGAGGCAAGATTCTAAACTTACTTAACTGCTGGTCTTCTATGGTAAATTTGTTCTTATACAGGGAGTCCTTGGACTTACGACACAATTGGTTCCTGAAAACGGCATCTTCAGTCAAAACGTTGTAACTTGGAACTGATTTTCCCATAGGAAACCATGTTATAAATGGGGGATCTGTTCCTGAACCAAGGCCTGATGCCCTATTTTCACCAAAAATAACCTAGAATTTTGTACTCAATTATAGATGAGTAATATAGCTACATAATACGTTTATAGTGTAAATAGCAATCCTGTTGATTTGGAAGGACTACTTTGACTTTTTGTTGACTTTGCTGGACTTCTTGGAGGGCTCTTGGTTGGACTTTTTGAAGGTTGGCTGGAATCTTTTCAAGAGTCTCAGCTGCAGGTTTTTCTGGAGTCTCGTTGGCTTTCTTAAAGAAGGTGTCCAAGGAAGTTTGGAGAGAGGTTCTCCAGCGAGACAGGTGGCGCAGCAAACTTGTTCACCAGTGTCGCGTCGGATCAAGCGTTGTAAACTTGAAACTGATGTCAAAGTCGAAACAGTGTCAATTTATAAATGTTGTAAGTGCCGTTCGTTGTAACCTGAAACTTGTTACTTAAGTAACATGCTTAGAATTTGATGCTCCTGATCAACTGGCACCAAGACTCTTTTAATTTTCTGTGCATAATGAAAGGGCCACCAAAATGGGGGTTGGGACACATGACTTCTGAGGAAAGACTGAAGGAACTGGACTTATTCAGTCTAAAGAAGAGAAGAGAAGACCAAGAGGGGACTTGCTAGCAGCCTTCAACTACCCGCAGCGGGGTTTGAAAGAGGATGGAGCTGGACTGTTCTTAGTGGTGGCTGATGACAGAACAAGGAGCAATGGGCTCACGGTGCAGCAGGGGAAGTTTAGGTTAGATATTGGGAAAATCTTACTAGGAGGGTAGTAAAACAGCTTCTCTGGAACACGCTCCCCAGAGAGGTGGTGGACTCTCCATCCTTGGAGGTGTCTAAGACCCAGCTAGACAAAGCTTTGGCTGGGATGATCTAGTTGGGGCTGGTCCTGCTTTGAGCAGCAGCTTGGACTAGATGTAACCTCCAGAGGTCCCTTCCAACCCTCACTTCCTATGATTCTGTAACTCATGTATACAAATGTAAATGAGTAAACTATGACTCTTGCAATCTGAAGCCCATTAGAGATCATTAGTCAGCTTTCCATCTTTACAGTGGGGTGAACACACTGTAGAACATACACTGCTATTTCACCTACACTCGGTGATATTACTGAGAGCTAGTGCCTTGGAGTGATGAATCATGCTGCTAATGGTATAAGGAAGGATCTATCATGAATGATATAATCCCATGTCACACTGCACTCTTATTTTGCTCTAACCTCAGTTTTTATTATTCCCCTTGATTTTCTTCCTCCATTTTATACGGGGCCAGACTTGAGTGGGATCTGTGCATGCCCATCATCTCAGGATCAGGCCCAAAGGATATTGATGTAGGAAAGATATTGGTCTGAAAATGACACTGTCTTATAAGCATAGAAAAGAAACATCTGGCTAGAATTGGTAGAAGTATTTTTTTTTCCTGAGTTTTGGTTTGCATCTCCAGTAAGATTTGAGTAATTTAATCCCTGCCATCCTTGGTATCTCCAGGTTCCCATCTTTCATGTTGCTGAGCATAAACAAATGTTTATATAGCATATCTCGATCCCTGGAGTGAGAGAGCTGGGGGAAGATAAAGTTACGTACTAAGGTGTTTCACATACACTTCTCACTATAACAGTGTGGTATAACAGACTTATTATTCTGCCCTCTCCCCGTATCTGTCATGGCCTCTTATTTTTCTGACAAAATGTTTTTAAATCCTGTTAGCTTTGCAGCATTTCTGTAGCTATGGGAGAGCAGACTGGCATCTCTTTCTGCTTGTGCATCAGCCAAATTGTCAGTAACATTTTGATTGCAGGGTCTTTATTGCAGCGATAAGGTAAAAAGCTTGATTTTTTTTTTTCAGATATTTTATGGAGTGTGCAGGGCTGACAGTTAGAAAAATCCATCTTTTGACTTGTAACCTAAGCTAATTTGCTCAGAAATCACTGACAGCAAATAAATATGGAATCTTACAATACCATTATACAGTCACTTTTCACAGCCTAACAGCTCTTTAATATACTAATTTTAGTGTAAAAATAGCAATCCCTAACTAGATCTTTTTGTCACTAACTGGGAATCTCATTTAGCATCTCAAATTGTCTTGTCAAGGCTGCTGCTGCTGCTTTCAGCAGAAGCTGAATTTGTACTTCTTTGTGAACCTCTGCAAGTTTCTCTGATGTGAATATATGTGACAACTGTCACATTTGGGACCCAGGCAGGTCAAACAGTCTGAAAACCATGGATCTCACGGCAGCTTGGTATAAATGATGCAAGACGTTTAG